CAACCCTCATTGCATACTCCTACGATAAAACTAATGCCCTGAAATATAATACTTTTAGACTATTCTCTTCCCCATAGACTTCAATGCTGTAAACATATTTCATCCAGTTTTCAGGGATGTATTCTGTCTCCATACCTTTTCAATTTGTATGCAGAACAGATCATCCAGGACACTGGCCCACACGATGCCCATATGTGGCATCAGGGTTGGAGGAAGATTTATCAAGAACCTGTGTTATGCAAATGACACAACCCTGCTTGCTGAAACTAAAGAGGCCCTGAAGTGCTTGCTGCAGAAGGTCAAGGACTATAGCCTTCAATATGGATTGAAGCTCAACATCAAGAAAACAAAGATTCACCACAGATTGGCAGCATCATTGTGGATGGTGAAGAGATTGAGGTTGTTAACAGTTTTAGTTTGCTTGGCTCCACAGTCAACATTCTTGGTCCCATCAGCCAGGAAATCAAGAGACAAATTGCATTGGGAAAGTCAGCTGTCAAGAACCTCTCCAGAGTACTGAGGAGCAACAATGTCAGGCTGGAAACGAAGGTGCACCTGATCCGGGTCACAGTCTTTACAGTTGTGTGCTATACATCAGAGAGCTGGACAGTGACTAGGGATGACAGAGAATTGATGCCTTTGAGCTGTGGTCCTGGAGAAGAGTGTCAAATACACCTTGGACTGCTAGGAGAACAAACAGGTTTGTCCTAGGGAGGGTAAAACTGGGCACCTCCTTGGAGGTAAAGATTCTGAAGCTTCATCTGACATACTTTGGGTATGTTGCAAGGATGGACCAGTCTTTGGAGAGCTACAGCATGTTAGGGAGGGTGGAGGGACTGCACAACAGAGGAAGACCCTCAGTGAGATGGATCGATTCAGTGATTTGGGGTAATGGGAGTAGGAGTGTCAGAGACAGTGAGGTTGGCAGAGGATAGAGCAGGGTTTATGGCTCTTGTACATAGGGTCACTATGAGTCCCAAACGATTTAACGGCACATAAAAACAGCAAGATAATTTATCCTAGAATTGTCTTGGCTTCTCCTTTTACAAGTTCTGGAACTACTCGGCATGTTTATTCTTTTTTATTGTGATTGTTCTTATTTTTGGACTGATACCTTTGGTTTTCTTATTTTTTTTCCTTTTAAGTTTATTTTACTTTGTGTATTTTTGTACCTTGAGTTGATTTCTGAGTGATGTGTTCATGTATGTTAAGTCCAGGTTGTTTTCTCTCTTATTGGTTCTCATTCCAGAGAATTCCCTTTATTATTTCTTCTAAGGTTGCTCTTGTTTTCTGAAATCTGTTTATATTTTTAAATCTAGAAATATCTTTTTTTTTAAAAACGATAATACCTGTTTTTATTCAACTGATCTTGAACTCTTTTTTTACATTTGTGTCAATCATCATGTATAAAGGACTGATTTAATTCATGTGCATCAGTGTGTCTTACTTTGAATGACCTCTTGTTCCAAGTCTTCGTGTAGTTAAGAGGGGTAATTTTTGGCAGTTGTCTTTCCAAAAGTGACAGCACAGGCTGGCTCCAACTTCTCTTTCCTGCAAAAATCTAAACAATGTGCATAAAGGATGCACCATGGTAAGCAAACTCCTTCACATACAATATAATTCTCTTCAAGCCATTGCAGCGTGAGCTGGGTCTGCCTCTTTTTATCCTTCATAATCTGGGCGACAGTTTTCTTCTGAGAGAGATGCTGTGAGTCGCGTTCTTTGGCTTTGCTGTCTTGGCTATCCCCATCTTCTTCTTCAGAGGAAAAGGTACCGTTGCTTAAGGGCATTTCTGATTTCACTCCCACTGGCTGCTCGCGTTCATCCGCCTTGTCGTTGTGCAGCGGGCCTCCTGGCTGCACTTTGGCCGCCAGGTACGCCCTGTCCTGGGGTAGTCGAGCAAGCCCTTGCCCAGCAGCTGCGTACAGCACTCCTGGATCTCGGCAGACTCTTGGGGCGAAGGCTGTGTCTGCAGGAAGGAGTCTTCCAGCTCCAGGACCTTAGCCATCCTCCCGGACTCCAGAGATCTCTGCACCTCGACTGGGCCAGCTCCCCTAAATCTAGAAATATCTTAATTTCACTGTCATATATGAGGAACAATTTTGTTAGATACTGAATTTTTCTTGTTATGTGCAGTCAAGTACAGCACATAATGAACTATTAACAACAGATCTGAACCCCTCCTTTGCTCTGCCATCCTCTTCATCTCTGCCATAGTCAAACCCATTGCTGACATCACTATAACAGGATACCCACTCAAGTGGCCTGAGCAGAGAGGGTCTTCCTCTCTTTTACTGACCTTTTCAAACATAATGTCCTTTTCTTTCAGGACATAGAAAAACATTTTACAACTTTTCTTCCTTCCTCTGAAAGATTTTTTTATCTTTTATTTAGGCCACATTTTTCCACCAAATGCTCCACTGGAGAAGGAGGGGCAATCTCCTGTACCAGTCAGATCCTATTCGACGGTACACACAAAAAATAATAAAGTTTATATATACCTCAAAA